CAAGCCACAGACAGGAAGAAGATATGCCAATACATAAACTTGACAACTTCCAGAATATATAAAAAACTCTTACAACACAATAAGAAAAGACAAACAACTCAATAAAAACTGGTCAAAATAATTGAATGGGAACTTCATAAAGGACATATAAGTTGTCAATAAGCAAAGGAAAAGATACTCAACATCATTACTCATTAGGGAAATGCAAATTAAGATAACAATGAGAAACCACTGCATACTCACTGAAATGACTAAAAACATACCAAGTGTTAATGAGGATGGGAAGCAACTGGAGCTCTGATACATTGCTGGTGGAAATGTAATTGGTACAACCACTTTGGAAAACTGTTTGGCAGTATCTGCTAAAGCCAAACATGCTCCTATCCTAGCGATGACCCTGCAATCTCACTTTTAGATATACACTCAGGTGGAATGAGTGCATCTGTTCACCAAAATATGTACAGGAATGTTCAAGACAGCTCTATTCATAAAAGCTAAAAATTTGAAACAATCACATTGCTTTTTCAATAGCCAGATGGATTAAATTACGGTATGTTCATACAATGGACTACTACAAAGCAATAAAAGGAATAAACTTCTGACAGCATACAAAAATATAGATATTAATAAATATAAGACATTATCATGAGCAAAAGACGTCAGGTGCAAAAGAATACACAGTATAAATTCAACTTTAAAGACACCTTTATTGAGGTATAACTCACATGCTATGCAATTCACCCATTAAATGGATATAATTCAATAGGTTTTAGTATATTCACAGATATGTGTAACCACCATCAGCAATCAATTTTGGGACATTTCATTACCTCAAAAAGAAACCACCCTTTACCTACCCTTGCATTTCCCCCACGAGCCCTAAACAACCATTAATCTACTTTCTGTCTCTATAGATTTGCATATTCTGGACATTTCATATAAATTTCATATATGATCATATAGTATGTGGACTTTTGTGACTGGCTTATATCACTTAGTATATTTTAATAGTTCGTCATCCATGTGTGGCATGTATCAGTACTTCATTACTTTTTAAAAAAAATTTTTTTTTGAGACAGGATCTCACTCTCCTGCTCAGAGTTCAGAGACATCATCATAGGGTGCTGTAACCTCTTGGGCTCAAGAAATCCTCCCACCTCAGCCTCCCAAGTAGCCAGGCCTACTGAAGCATGCCACTGAGCCCAGCTATTTTTTTTTATTTTTTATAGAGACGAAGTCTCACTATGTTACCCAGGCTGGTCTCAAACTCCTGGCCTGAAGCAATCTTCCCACCTTGGTCTCCCAAAATGCTGGGATTACAGGCTTGAGCGACTTGCCTGGCCCCTTCTTTACATTTTATGGTCACATAATATTCCATCGTGTGAGTATACCACGTTTTATTTATCCTTTCATCAATTGACGGACAAATGGGCTGTTTCCATCTGTTGGCTATTATGAATAATGCTGCTGTAAACGATAAGCACAATTTTTTGTGTGGATGTATTTTCACTTTTGCTTGGTGTATACCTAGGAGTGGAATTGCTAGGTCATGTGGTAACTCTGCATTTAATCATTTGAGGAACTGACAGAGTGTTTTTCAAAGCAGCTGCACCATTTTACCTTCCCACCAGTAGTATATGAGGCTTTTGATTGCTCCACCTCCTTGCTAGCACTTGTATTATCTGACTTTTTGATTCTAGCCATCCTAGTCAGTGTATGTTTGTATCCCATTGTGGTTTTGATTTCCCGATGAGTGCTTTTGATGACCAGTGATGTTGAGCATCTTTTCAGATGGTTATTGGCCATTGTATATCTTCTTTGGAGAAATATCCATTTAGACCCTTTGCCCAATTTTAAATTGAGCTGCCTTTTTATTATTGAGTAGTAAGAGTCCTTTTTATGTTCTAGATACATGTCCCTGATCAGATATATGACTTGTTTTTCTCCCATTCTGTGAATTGTCTTTTCCCTTTCTTGATAGTGTCCTTTGAAATACAAAATTTGTTAACTTCGATGAGGTCCAATTTATCTATTTTTCTTTTGTTGTTTGTGTTTTTGGTGTCACATCTAAGAATCCATTGCCAAATCCAAAGTCAGGAAAGTTTACCCCTGTTTTCTTCTGTGAGTTTTATAGTTTTAGCTCTTACCTTTAAATGTTAGATTCATTTTGAGTTAATTTTTGTATATGGTATGAGGCAAGGGTCTGACTTCATTTTTATCATATGGTTATCCAGTTGTCCCAGAACTATTTGTTTAAAAGACTGTTCTTTCCCCATTGGATAGCCTTTGTCCCCTTGTGAAAAATTAGTTGACCATAGAAACATGGTTTTATTTCTGGATTGTCAATTCTGTCCCATGATATGTCTATCCTTATGCTGGTATCATGCTGTCTTCATTACCATTGCTTTGTAGTAAGCTTTGAAATCAGGAAGTGTTGGTCTTCCAACTTTGTTCTTTTACAAGATTGGTTTGGCTATTCTGGATCCCTTGAATTTCTATATGAATTTTATGATCAGCCTGTCAGTTTTTGGAAAACATAAACCCATCTGGGATTCTGATAATTATTGTGTTGAATCTATAAACCATTTTGGAGGAGTATTGCCATCCTAACAAAGTTTGATCTCCTGAGCCATGAACGTGGGATATTCTTCCATTTTATTACATCTTCTTTCCTTCAACAATGTTTTATAGTTTTTAGTGTACGAGTTGTGCAGTTCTTTTGTTTAATTGATTTTTAAGTATTTTATTCTTTTTGATGCCATTATACATGGACTTTTCAGCTTTCTCATTGCTGCTGTATAAAAATAGAGTTGATTTTTGTATATTGATCTTGATGAACTTGTTTATTAGTTCTAATGGCATTTTACTGCATTCCCTAGGAATTTTATTCATAAGATCACATCATCCTGTGAATAAAACTAATGTCTTTATTCTTTTTGAAGCTATTGTAAATGGAATTGTTTTACAGTGCTTCAAAGTACATGAAGCAAAAACTTATAGAACTGAAATGAGGAATAGACAAATCCATAACTAAGTTGGAAGCTTCAATACTCCTCTGATAGTCAATAGAATAAATCAACAGATACTCAATAAGGAGGTAGAAGACATGACACTATCAACCAACTTGATCCTAATTCACATTTGTAGAACACTCTACCCAAAAACAACAGAATACACGTTTTGAAAAAATGCACATGGAACATTCATCACCATAAAGCATATTCTGAACCATAGACCAAACCTCAAAAAATTTAAAAATATTGAAATCATAAAAATATTGAAATATCAAAGTATTTGATCTGACCATAGTGGAATTAAATTATACTCAATAAGGAGGTAGAAGACATGACACTATCAACCAACTTGATCCTAATTCACATTTGTAGAACACTCTACCCAAAAACAACAGAATACACATTTTAAAAAAATGCACATGGAACATTCATCACCATAAAGCATATTCTGAACCATAGACCAAACCTCAAAAAATTTAAAAATATTGAAATATCAAAGTATTTGATCTGACCATAGTGGAATTAAATTATAAATCTATAATACAAACTTATCTGTAAAACTCCTAATATTTGTAAATTAAAGAACATACTTCTAAATTATCCGATGGGCCAAAGAAGAAGTGTCAAGAGAAATTAGGAATATTTTGAATTGAAGGAAGATGAAACCACAATATATAAAATTTGGAAGATACAGCTAAAGCACTATTCAGACAAAAATGTATGGCATTAAATTCTTCTATTAGAAAAAGAAAAAAGATCTCAAATAATCTAAACCTCCATCTCAGGAAACTAGAAAAAAATAGCAAATTAAACCCAATCAAGCCAAAGAAAAGAAATAATAAAGATAAGAGCACAGATCAATAAAATTTAAAACAAAAAACAATAGATAAAATCAATAAAACCAAAAGCTGTGTTTTTTTCTTTTGAGAAGATTAATACAATTGATAAGCCTCTAGCCAGGCAGATCAAGACATAAATTAACAATATCAGGAATGAAAGTGGAGATATCACGAGAGATCCTACAGACATTAAAGAAGGTAATAAGGGAATATTATGAACAATTTTATGCCCATGAATTTAAAATCTTAGGTGAAATGTACAAATTTCTTGAAAGTCACAAACTACCGGAGCTCCCTCAAGAAGAAATAGACATAGTCCCATGTCTATTAAATTAATTGAATTCATAGTTTAAAATCTTCCAACAAAGAAAACTCTGCTGAAGAATTCTATTTCATATTTCTATTACTAGCAATGAAGTTCAAGAGTAAGCAATATCAATGGATAACGATAGAAGTAAAAATAATTGTTACCTCTGGTAAGGTGTTATTGACTAGAAGGGAGCACAAGGGAACCTTATGAAGTGTTGGAAGTGTGCTTTATTATGATCTAGATAGTGATTACACGAGTTTAAAACATATGTAAAAATTCATCAAACTGTTTAAGGTTAGAGCACTTCATTCAGTTTTATTGTATGTGTGCTATACTTCGCAACATTTTTAAATGTTCAATATACCAAGGATGAATGAAAGCCATCTCACATAGTATGGCACATGTCACCTGACATAAGATTCTTCCCATGGTGAAGCAGCACTTCTGAACTAGAAGATACAGCGCTGCATAATGCACTCAGTCATTAGACTGAGCATAGGCAAGTTGAAAGTTCACAAGAGGCAAGTAAACACTGGATTTGAAGTAGAATCTTAATGATAGCAACAGGACTTTTTCAGGCTAGTTAGGAGCATGATGGCAATAGTTTCAAAAAATATAGGCAATGCTGGCGAATGCATTACAGGGTGCTGAAAGTAGTGGTGAACTTAAAGATTTCAAAATGTTAAAAAGTCTGTGTACAGAGGCTAGGATGACCTTCGAAGTGTCAGTAAAATTAATTTTTCCCCAAAAGAAAACCTCTCCGGTCAGAGAGATTAGAACAAGAGAGAATAATGGAATGTAATCATAGAGAATGTTGTATTTTTGCCTCTGTCTTAGGGGACTTCTCAAATGATCCATGTGAGACATTGCTTCTGCTGTACGAGTTTGAAGTTAAAGCCAAAATGAATGATCCATCCTTGGACAGCTTCCTGGAATCAGTGTGGGAGCTGCCTCATTTAGAAAGTAAAACATTTGAAACAATCGCATGTAAGAGCTATGTTTATGCTTTTGTAAGGCCAGTGCCCATTTAGATCCTACTACATTTTTTTTTCTTTTCTTTACTTTTTTTTCTTACCTCTGGGTGGGAAACAATGTTTCCCCATAGTACTTTGTTTCTCCCTAAGACTATTTCATGTTACGATCATTTGTGCATTTATCTTTTTCACTCTATAAAATCACAATCTCCTTAGAGTCACAAATAATAATTACCTATATATATTGTACTTACAAACCCTAGCTAAGTGCATTGCTCATAATAGGTGCTCAAATCTATTCAATGTGTGGAATTTAATTATGTAAGTACACAATAGGGAGAGCTCAAACTTCAGAAAGTTTTTCTCTGCTAGCTACAAATGATAATTGAGGACTTCACCAATCAAAGGTGATGCAATCTTAGCAATTTATTGAAATGTACGGAGAAATACTGGTCATATTTTTTTTTTTTTGAGACAGAGTCTCACTCTGTTGCCCGGGCTAGAGTGCCATGGCATCAGCCTAGATCACAGCAACCTCAAACTCCTGGGCTCAAGCGATCCTTCTGCCTCAGCCTCCTGAGTAGCTGGGACTACAGGCATGTGCCACCATGCCCGGCTAATTTTTTTCTATATATTTTTAGTTGTCCGATTAATTTCTTTCTATTTTTAGTAGAGACGGGGTCTCGCTCTTGCTCAGGCTGGTTTCGAACTCCTGAGCTCAAACAATCCGCCCGTGTCAGCCTCCCAGAGTGCTAGGATTACAGGTGTGAGCCACCACGCCTGGCCAAGGTCATATTTTTTAATGAAACTGCTACCCTCAAATTTCTGGTTGAATTTTAAGTGGGTTTGGGGCTCAGAGTGTTTTTGGGAATACATTGCAGAAAATGGCCTAATTATCTTCTCTTTTTCTCTCTCATCCTCCTCAGGAGCATGCATGTGGTTAATAAAGATATTAGGTAACCCCAAGTGCACAAGAGTCACATTTGCCTTTCCTTGGTCTTGCCAAGACAGAATTCCTAGAGCCATGGAGCAGATGATGTATTCTTTATGGACATATTGTGATGACCACTGCTCCTTGTATAATGGAACTCCAATTCTAGAGACCTGTTAAATGCATTTGGAAGTTTTAGAATTAGTTATCTCTGATTCTCACTCCTATGTCAAGTACTGCCTATTTTTAGTGTCAGACAAAAATTGTACACTGTAGTATAAATCTGCTTTTAATTAGAGCCCTTTTACTGATCTGCTTTCTGTTTCTTTCTTAGTGTGCCCTTCCTTGACTCTCATTCATAAGATTATTGCTTCACCTCTATGACTGTGTGCAGGGTCATAGAAACAGTAAGTTTTCTATTAATATTTGCTGAAGAAAGGATGTAATCTGGTAATCCTACCCTGCTACTCTACCCAGAAAGTAGAAGCTATTTCTAAAAGCATGTGTGGATTCATCATTTATAAAATTCATTGTTTTGTTTGTTTGTTTTTGTTCAACTGTTTCAGGCCAGTTTCCTTAGAGAAAGCAAGTTGTAGCCTGAGATGAAAACTGTGATGGATGAGATTATGGTGTTCACCTTTTTTCTTCTCTTCCTCTAGCATTAGCAATGGAAATGCCTGCATACTATCCTTCTATTGCTGTCAAGGCCTTGAAAAGGGCTTTAGTGCTCCACAAAAAACAAGAATCAATTGATGTTTTGCAATACAGGTTAGTAAATGTAATTCAACACCTAATCCAGGCCTTCTGATAGCCAAAAGAACTATAGTCAATGCCCCATGAGTAATCAATCATACTCAACTGGCCCAATCTAAAAGATGATCTAGGGGTGATCTGGGAGGCACTCTTGTGAACAGCTCCATATTGAGACCAAGAATTATTTAGCAAGATCAAGGAGTCTGGTTTTCCCAAAAAGAAAAAGAGGGGAAAAGTTGCTTCTTTGTGTGAGTTTGTGTATATAGTAAAACTACTGAGTACCTTTTTTTTCTTTGTTTCATTACTAAATATTCCAAATAGACAGAAAAATACAGAGGTTGATATAAAAAACACCAATGTGTCACCACCCAAATTTATTTATTTATTTTCTTTTTTTTTTAAGAGAGTGGGTCTTACTATGTTGCCCAGGCTAGATGTGAACTCCTGGGCTCAAGTGATCCTCCTGCCTCAGCCTCCTGAGTAGCTAGGACTACAGGCTCTACCACCCGAATTTAACAAATGTTAACATTTTGCTGTATTTGTCTCCAATTTTTT